TTGTAAATGTAAATTAATGCATACAGAGCAGAGCATTAGCGCTTCCCGGCTGGCTAATTTGATTCAAAATTAATTAATCAAGAATCATTTAAATGCAGTTAATATATATATATATCTGTATACATATACACGTAGCAAATTAATTACCTGGTAAGCACTTGATCCGGCGCCAAATATGAATCCATCAGGAAAACTGTTTCTGTTGATCAGCAGATTTGAGTCTGAAGAATCTGATGATACTAACCAGCTCCAGCTGCAGGTCATCATCATCATCAGCAATCCAGCCGTTGCCACCACAACCTTCATATCTGGATATATCCTAATCAAGAACAACTCAACCTAATTAATTATAAATAATAATTATACTATGTGTGCGTGTGTTGTGGATTGCGGACATTGCTAGTAAATTAAAAGAAATTAAGGCGCTTGAATGCTTCATTAACATCAAGATAACGCAGACTTCTTGTTGTTGGAAATTAAGGATAGCGGAGGGAGTCTTGGTTCTATTGCGGACCAAAAGAAAGACTTACAGATGGGAATGGAAATGGAAATGGAATGGGAATGGGAATGGGAATGGGAATGGGATTCCAAAGCTGCTGCACCACACATATACATCTATGTATAGAAATAGATATAGAGATATATGTGGCCATGGAGTAGGTACGGCGTGCTAGATGAGGGCAGGCAAATTAAGTGGATAAATATATTTCTGCCATGTGACTCATCAAAACAAAATGGAAATATGGAATTTCTCAGAAAATTGAAATATGGAATCGTTCATTTACAAGAGGACAGAGGACTGAGTCCAGAGAGAGAGAGAGCGAAATGAGGAAATTAGTAAAGTAGATGTGATGCGCATGTAATGTAATGTAATATAATGAGGGAAATTTTGGGTGGGAATTGTGGGGATAGCGATTAAGTATTAGCTGGATGAGAATGTCAGATATAGAGAACGCCTCTCATAAACTCAAGCCAACTACCATTCTGCCTGTCTAACCATCACCCCATATGACTGATGATTAACCTTTTTCTTTCTTTATTTTTTTTATGAAATCGATTAATCTTTATATATATATGTATACAAATATAAATAATTCAATATAATTAATCTTTAGCATCAGGTAGCTAGGTAGCTAGGTAGCTGCGTCATTGTCAATTAGATTCCCTAAACTTGAATTATTACAACAAATTAATAATACTCCAACTCATAATTAAGTAACAATTTTCCTTTTAAAATTTCTCACTCTTGTATTATTCTAGTCTAGTCTTCTGTTGGGTGCATGCTATGGTATTTCCATCCAAAACTATCATTCAACTCCCCAGTCTTAATTATTGTAGAATTTGTCAATAGGCTTTATCCAAATGCTCAAGGAACCCATCTAATTAATTTTCCCTAATACTAATAGAAACAATTAGAAAATCGATTTGTATGACCATTTGATGAGTCAGATATATCAATAAAAGTAGTTTTCGTTTGGCAAAACCATAAGTTAAGCCCTGAACTAACCTCAGAATCACTATTAAGCCCCTAGACTTTAATTGATGCAGTTAAGCCCTTGAACTCTGTTATCAAAGCAATTAAGCCCTTCTTCTTACGCTAACTTAACTGCCGTTGAGGACACACCCCGCTTGGCTGCTTGGATGGCAAAGTATTGCCATGTCATGCTTACATGGCAAGGGATTTAACATTTGAC